GACGACACGCAAGCCATGTGCAATAAGCTGTAATATTTCCACGCAATGATAAACGTTGGAAAATACCAAGGGACAGTTCGTTGTGGCTGAACGAAGACAAAAATCATGCTGCCTTGGTCTTCAAGGCTGGGTAATTAATTGATGTAAAAAAGTGACATTTAGTTGCCCTTTTGCTGTGCCCTGAGCAAATACCGGTCCCACGTAAATTAAAAATGCCGAGTTAATCAAGTCGATTTTGAAGTTAACGCAGGGGTCATATAATTGAAAGAACTCCTTGACGCTGATTGCAAAATGAAAAGCTTTACAAAGTGAGGCTACATTTTTCAAGATAAACAAACAGTGAAATGGCTCGATTAAATTTCCTGAAGTTAAGAGTCTTCAGATATATTGACAACATATTTAAACGTTAAGTCAAGTACATGTGTTTTCAAATTAGGGAAACTTTCTGTCAATATTGGTTGAAAGCGAAGGTAGTTGATTAATTTATCTTACTCGACCAATACTGTTCCAATGCTGGACTCACGTTTAAAGACCAGCGGTTATTTGTTATAAGTAGGTCCATGTACAACATGTATTCCAACATGATCATGTCTGATGGTAAAGAAAATTACAATGTTTCCGACAACTACAATGAGTCCGCGGACACACTGGAGTTTATGGTGCAAGTAAGAACCACAGGTTGGGTTGGTTTCGGTATTGCTGAAGTAGCATCAAATAATATGAGTTACTATGATGTGGCAATAGGAGGAGTAACAGATGACGGAACAGGCTATCTGCAGGTAGGTCGGAATAACAAAATTTAAACTATCTAAACAACGAAAGAAAAAAAATCGTGAGATTCGATTTTAAGTTTCGCGTCACGCATGATTCGTTTTTTGTCTGATTTCTTTCATTTTCCCTCAAAAGTTAAGACAATAATTTCTGACCGCGAAAATATTTAAAATTAAAGCGAATAAAGTTTAGTGGAGATATTGACGTAAGTCTCTTAATTTCGAGAGAAATGGTATGTTTATTGTTATATAAAACAGCCTAGAGGATTTGAGTATTAGTTTACTCAAATATTGTTGCTAACAAATCTCTTCTTTCATTACTAGCGTTTAATCCTATTTCATTTTTTGGGTAAAGCTTCGTTTTAGTCGACTTCCCCTCCACGTCCATCCTGAGGAAACACATTACATTAAATCCGAAATTCTTGCAAATGAGTCTACTTATTTTGAGGTATAATGCATAGATTTGGCCAAGCCCAAAAGTAGAGCGCGTATTTTAATGGATTTCAATCCGTAACTTCAATTTTTGGGGGTCTCCATAAAATAGCTTGCAGCGAGAAGTCGAACATTTTCAAAAAAAGGAACGAACTGAAGATTGTGTAAACCGTTAAAAAGTTTTCCAACAATATGCAACCAGAAAATGCAAGGACTCGTTTAATATTGGGGCATGTATGGACAAGTATGTGAAATTGCAGTCTCCACCTCTAAAACACTGCTAGTGCTCATAAAGCACGACACACATCATCCCATATCTCAGATAATTGGTATCCAGAAACGCAGAAGGCGCTCAGAAACTTACTAAGCAACTGGATTAAACGAGGCAGTACCTCTGAAAACAACGATAAGGGGGCAAAATGAGACCGCAAAACTTAAACAGGCGATTTTGCTCTCTAACAATTAATACCTTGGATTTTCTCGCCAAATGAAGGAAATGCCAGGCAGCAACTATTTTCCCGCCATCTTTCACCGTGATAAA